GAATGAACGTAGAGATAAAATTTCTGAAAACTATAGAGAATAAGTATTAAAAGAAAAATGAGGCTTCATTGCGATTTTGATAAAGAAAAAAGGAGTGGAAATGAGAAATTAGAAAGTCAGTTGTTGTTGTCAGCCAAGTTGTAAAGCAGATTTTTCAAGTGCATGGTTTAAGAAGCAGTAGGGAAATAACACTGATTTATTACAATGAGCCATATTAAATACTCCGGATTGTTTTTTACTATGGTTAGCAAAACTGGTATGGGCATGGTGTACCATAGGGCAACTCAATTTGATATTAGATAATGAAAAGTCTTGGGGGGGAAAATATATATATATTTTAGAGACAGGGAAAGAGAGGGAGGGGGGAGAGAGAGAGACAGAGAAAAACTTTGATTTGTTGTTCCACTTAATTGTGCATTTATTGGTTACTTCCTGTATGTGTCCTTACCAGAGATGATACCCGCAACTTGGCATATGAGGATAACGCTCTAACCAACTGAACAACCTGGTCAGGGCCTTGGCTTGGAAGTACTCTTGAGGGAGAGTCTATTCTTTTTTTTTTTTTTTAATATATATTTTATTGATTTTTTTACAGAGAGGAAGGGAGAGGGATAGAGCAAAACATCAATTAGCTGCCTCCTGCACACCTCCCACTGGGGATATGCCTACAACCAAGGTACATGCCCATGATGGGAATTGAACCTGGGATGTTTCAGTCTGCAGACCGACACTCTATCCACTGAGCCAAATCAGTTAAGGCGAGAGTCTACTCTTGAGGGTGTGTCTTTTTCTCTACCCTCAATATGACAGAATCAAAAGAAAAAATAATTTTGAACACTGAGCTGTAAACATAATCAGATTAACAACAGTTATCAAGTTCTACTTTTAGGTTTCAATACACAAACAGTACAGAAGAAGCAGGTATAATAGGAAATACTTGACTTGATAGAAGTTCATCTGATCAGATTTTACTTTATTTATTTTTAAAATATATTTTTATTGATTTCAGAGAGAAAGGAAAGAGGGAAAGAGATAGAAACATAAAATGATGAGAGAGAGTCATTGGTTGGCTGCCTCCTGCGTGCCCTTTACTGGGAAGTGAGCCTGCAACCTAGGCATGTGCTTTTGACTGGAATTGAATCTGGCACCCTTCAGTCCATTGGCTGATGCTCTAGCCCTTGAGCCATACCAGTTAGCACATCTGATCAGATTTGAGTTAGGGTAGAGACAGAGATGGGAATAAGGAAGAGGATGGAATTAGTTAGCCAAAGCTTAGTATGAAGTAATCATGTGATGTTGCTGCTAAAATTTTAACCTAATCTTAGACATGATAGCTGCTGTCAAATATTTGAAGAACTATCTTGTAAAAGGGAATAGAAGAGTTCCCAGAAGGAAAGTTTTAGCACTTATGGAATGGGCTCTCTCAGTAGGTGCCTAATCAGTGTTAATAGTAAGGTTAAATGACTGTCCTATCTAATAAAGAGGGAATATGCTCATTGACATCACACCCTCACAAAGATGGCAGCACCTACAGCCAATAAGGAGGGAATATGCTAATTGACTGCCACACCCTCAAAGATGGTGGCACCCATAGCCTTAAGATGGCAGCGCCCAGTCCCCTCAGCCCCACCAGAGCAGCAGGTGAGTGGCACAGCCTGCCTCCAGAGTCCCCCAACCCCCTCAGCCTCCAGCCACCCAGGGCCGGCCAGAGGCACAGGCAAGCCTCAGATGGTGGCTGCCCAGCCACCCAGGACCAGCTGAGACTTGTGCTGCCAGCAGTGGTAGCAGCAGAGGTGTGATGGGGGCATTGCATTCCCCTGATCACTGGGTCACCTCCCGCTCCTGAGAGCTCTTGCACTGTGGAAGGGGGCAGGCCAGGCTGACGGACTCTCGCGCCCCCCCCCCCCCCCCCCAGGGCATGAATTTTCATTACCAGGCCTCTAGTCAGTACTATAAAAGAAATTACAGTGTATCAATAGAAGCTTGACATCTAGGGTCTCTTTCAAGCTTTAAAGTTTGATTCTTTTATTTTTACTTCAATAGAAATTTTTTATCGTTGGACACTTCACAGATTACCTAATCTTAGATAGCTGCTGTCAAATATTTGAAGAACTATCTTGTAAAAGGATAGGAGAAAGTGATAGAAATAAAAGTGTCAGAGATGAAAAAAAAAAAGAAAGAAAGTGATAGAGTAATATGAAGGAATGAGCACAAAACTGCTTCCCTCCCCTTTTAACATCCAACACATTGCACAGAATTGGCTCTCAATGAATGGTGAATGGACTTTTGTCACTTGGGTTCAGGTTATAGCTCTCTCACCAGCCATGTGAATTTGAACATATCATTTAATCTGTATATCTGTTAAGTAATTAAGAGTTGGAGTAGATGACCTTATGTCTTTTCTACCTCCAGCTTTATATGTGGCAGATTTGTTTGTTCTCTTTATTTGAAGCAGTTCTGAGATTTAGGAGTTTTTCGTGGTAAAAAAGATAATTCGCAGAATTTTGAACTTAGCTGTGATGTTTTGGAAACCTTTTTTTCGAAGGTATTTTTAATTGAAGATGGTACTTTTATGATTCAGAATTTTTCTGCTATTTTAACTTTGTAGATGAGACAAATGACTACAGGAAGCCCTTTTGAAACAAAATAGAATATTTTTTAGAATTTAATATTTAGATTTTTAAATGGTTTGAGATAATAAAAATTACTGAGGCAATTGGATTTTAGGGCTGGCTAAAGTCTATAATTATTATAAAAATAAGGTCCTTAAATTTCAGTTTTTAAAGTTATAGAAATTATTAGTTTACTATAATTACTTTTAATAATGTTAAAAGTACTGGGAAATAAAATGTTATGTTTCTCATTACTTTTTATACTCCTTATTCATATCTAATTAATATGTATTAGAAGCTTTCATGGTTGAAATTAAAGTAAATTCAAATATATATTCCCCTCAAGTTATAAAATTAAAATAAATGTAATAATAACTAATATAATCATTTTAGTGGTGTTACACAGGTATAGTTCTTTCAGACATATCACTTAATCTGCAATTACTAGTAAAGTAATTAGTGCAGGATTTATATTCTCCTTTTTATAGGTAAGAAAATAAGCCCTGAGAGGTTAATCAACTTAAGATCACAGAACAGCTCGTCATTAAGACCTGGAATTAGATCTTCTGACCATCAATCACTACCCTTTTCTTCTGAATTATATTGCCTCTGTCTAGCACCTGTATATTACTAATTGATGAAATTATACTACGTTAAATTGTTTCTTGATACTTCACAGCTGGCAGACACACCAAAATCTGAAAGATATGAGCATGTTCTGGAGGCATTAAATGATTACAAGACCATGTAAGTTGATTTGTTTTATGTTTCCCTATGAGGGAGACATTTATTCAGTATAAGAAATAATGGCATTGTTTAAGAATTGTGGTATTTGTGTATAGAACTAGTACATACAGTTTAAAAATTTCTAATGTCCTCTCAGAGTAATGCATTGATTCTCAAGGATTGGAGAAGAGAAGAGTAATCCTATGGGAATGGGGAATGGGAGGTGGCATATGAATATCTCAGGGGAATTTGGCCTGGCCAATTTGAAAAAGTGCAACCAGTAATGATTTATTTTTATAATGCAATCTACCTAAAGTAAAATAAAATCTTGTTAGCTGGTGGGAATTTGTACAAGGTAGGGGAATATATTGTAGAGAATGTGGGTTTTTGAATGAGATCTTTGATGGTAATAAGATTAGTTACTGCTTCAGTTATAGAAAAGTAGTATCAGTGGTCTAATTGATTTCAGAGATGAAGGGAGAGAGGGAGGGCGGGGAGAGAGAGAGGAAGAGGGACAGGGAGAGGGAGAAGCATTAATAATGAGAGAGAATTATTGATTGGCTGCCTCCTATATGCCCCATACTGGGGATTGAGCCACAACCTGAGCATATGCCCTGACCGGGAATCAAACCATGACCTCCTGGTTCATAGTCAATCAATGCTCAACCACTGAGCCATGCTGGTCGGGCATTGGTCTAAGTTTTTTATAATTAAGTGATATTATTTTATATTTTTAACCTAATCTTTCCTTTTTTAAAAATCTAGCTTATCTATATTTCTTTAAAATATTTTCAAAATATATAGAAATGTTTTTTAAAATGTATATGCTGGTTTCAACTATTGAATTACATTATACAATTTTTATAACAAGCTTGCTGTTTTTGCACTTGATAGCATTTCCTCATTTTAAAAAAAAAGTTATAATTACTAGTAGCTAGATATTTAGGCCAGCTCAAAAAGTCATAAAGTACATGAGCAGTTACTGTGTTGGTAGAAATACTTTATGGGACAGGGAATTCTGTAATCCAGTTTAGGATACCAGAAATACATCTGTTTCTATTATAGTAGAAATGAGAGCTGCTCTTTTTCAATCCTACATAACAGTGGAAGAACAGTCTAAGCATTTGATAGTGGTTCTTGTTGCTAGGCAAGCTGAACAAAGATAGGTTGGGATGTTTTGGAATAAGAAATCTAAAGGCTCTTATTTTTCTTTTTCTTTAAAAAAAATATATATTTTTTACTGATTTTTTTACAGAGAGGAAGAAAGAGGGATAGAGAGTTAGAAACATCAATGAGAGAGAAACATCGATCAGCTGCTTTCTACACACTCCCACTGGAGATGTTCCCTGGACCAGAATAGAACCTGGGACCTTTCAGTCCGCAGGATGACACTCTATCCACTGAACCAAACCTGTTAGGGCAAGGCTCTTATTTTTCAGAGCATATTATTCAGAGACCCAAGCCCACACTGAAATAACATATCTCTGCTCCAGGTTATTTCTAATTTCAGATGACAGACTAGATATTCTTTGTATTTTCTGGGCTTCTGGGATTGGTCTCCTACACTCTCTTTAACAGTGCTATTGCTTATTATTTTCTGACCAGAGTTTCTCACAAATATACTCTCAAATGAAATTCTTCTTGTCCTACACCTTTTTTTTGGAGATATTTTTGAACAGATGACATTAAAATATGGAAAAACATACTAGACTAAGAAGACAACTCTATACTCTTCTTTCCTCTAAAACACATGTGTCAAACACAAGGCCCGCGGGCCAAATCCGTCCCGCCAGGCCTTGCAATGTGGCCCGCACCGCGCTGTCATCACTGCACTCCGCTGCGTTTCCATCACAATGACAGTTTATGACTGTTCAATAAACCATTCGGCCCGCGATTTAGACTGGATTTTAGATTTTGTCCCCTTCTCTGATTGAGTTCGACACCCCTACTCTAAAAAGTTAGATGCCATGTTTCAAAAAGAAAGGTAGACATGTGCACATCTCTCATCCTTCTGATGCTATCCTCCCTCCCTATTCTTCCATCATATCCTACTGTGGACTGGCTCAGGGGCAAATAAGAAAGCAAGGGAAAAGGTAGTTTTTGTAGTATGGGGTGGACTTTCATGTATGAAGACTTAATATCTGAAAGTTGAGTTAGGGTCTGCCATGTATATGTGTTCAGTTTTTAAATCTTTAGTTAACTTTTTTAAAAATTTAGGTTTATGTCTGGGAAAGAAATAAAGAAGAAGAAGCATTTGTTTGGGTTGCGAATTCGTGTTCCTCCTGTGCCACCAAACGTGGCATTCAAAGCAGAGAAAGAACCTGAAGGAACATCCCATGAATTTAAAATTAAAGGCAGAAAGGCATCAAAACCTATGTCTGATTCAAGGTAAAAGTTGATCTGTGGCTTAGTTTTTTTCTTTTTAGCTTATTTGTAACTAAAAATGTGTATTGTTTAGTCTCATTAGTATATTTTCAAATATAAGTGGTAGTTACCCTGATTTGTTTTACTGTGTATAATTTTTTTGCTTAGACAAGGTACAAAGAGTTAATACTAGATGTTTATTCATTTATTTCATATCTTAGGCTTTTAAGGAATAAGCACTATTGATTAGGTTAGCAAACAATTTAAGTGCTGGCCTATTTATTTATTTGTTTATTTTTCTTTTACTCATTAATTCCACTTAGCAAGCATCTTATTAAGTGCAGGGATATAATAACAAACAGGACAGACTTCCTTTCTGCCCTGATGAGGTTTACATTATATTGAGGAAGAAAGGTGATAAAAGTAAAATAATTACAGAACATGCTAATGCCATTTAGGATATAACACACAGATTTAGACTGTACTGGGATGGGTTGGGTCTACTTAAGAAGGAGGCTTAAGGAAGGCCTATTTTAGTTGAAACTTAAAGAATAAAAATGACCTAATAATTTGAAGAACAAAGGGATGAATACTCCAGGTAGGAGAAATAACGAGTGTGAAAACTGTGAGTTATGTTATAGGAACTCTCCAGAAGAATTTTGGGGTAAGAATGAGGGGTAGAGAGTAGCCTCAAAGTGTTGGGAAAGTTAAGTAGGGCATGATCCTATAGAATCCTGTAGATTTCATGAGGACTTTGGGTTGTTTTCTATGAATAATGGGAAACTATTTAAAGATGCAAGCATACTGGACTACCCTTTGAATGTACCCTTTGGATGCTATTAATATTTGGAGAATGGACAGGTATAGAAGTAAGAATAGAAACAAGAGAAAATGAAATTAAGACTCTTGAAGTTGTCTAGGTAAGAGATAGATGATGCCTGCTTATATAGTGGTAGGTGGTAACAGTCTAATGGAGAGTGAAAATAGATTCAGGAGAACTATTAGAAGAATTTATTGGCTATGTGAATGAATTAAATTTATGAAAAAAAGGGAGGAATGAAGTTAACAAATGCCCAGATTTCTGGCTTGAGCAACTGGTGAGTGGTATTACCTGTTTCCAAGATCTGAAAGAACAGAATTTGGCAAGGTGAATGAAGCATTCTTCTGTTTCATACTCATTGATTCTAAGATTCTTACCAGGGATATCTAAGTGATGGTGATGATGTTAGATATAGGCAATTGAGTGCTCGGGAGAGGGCACATGATATAAATTTGGAAACCATGAGAATGAGTGAAATTACCTAGGGAGCAAGAGAAAAGAAGAGAATGTGGCCCAGAACAACGCTTTGATACCATTTCGAGATATGGGAAGAGGTGAAATAAATGAAGAAGACAAAAAGGGATGATCAGTGAAATAGGAAATCAGAAAAGTTTAGTGTCACAAAAACCAAAAAAGGGTACTGTTTCAAGAAAGATTAATGTATTAAATGTTTTTAAGAACTGGGTTAAGATTAGAGAAAATTTTTATTGGATAAGATAGCATTCTTTTATTAGTGACCTTGACAAAAACAATTTTTTTGAAAGGTAAAGATAGAAACCAGATTGAAATATGTTAAAATGTGATTTAATCTGGCACTGTCCAATTGACATGTCACAACTGTTTTTTGTTTTTTCTGCAAATAAAAGGAACATAGGGAGATTCAAAATAATGATGATAATAACAACAAAGGAAATAACCATTAAGGATTCTGAATGAAAAGGGAGAAAGTGGAAAGGGTATGTGTCCTCAACTCTTAGTAGTTTTACTGTGGAGAGAAATAGATAATGGAATGGAAGCTGAAGAGTAATCAAGTGATTTTTTTTAATAGATAGAAGATAATTGGAACCTGTTTCTGTGTGCTAGTAGGAATGATCCATTGGAACAGGGATTTGTATAGGAGATACGGGAGGTAATTAAAAGTAATTAAAGATATTGTAAAGTCTTTGAGAAGCCAAAAGGAAAGGGATTTTAGAGCCCAAATGTGGGAGTAGCCTTTAGAAGCAGAACTTACTGTACATCTTTCTGTTGAAATGGAGTGACAAAAGAGAAGAGAGGTTCAGATGCCGGTTTTATTGTAGATTTGCCATTTGGAAGATGACTGAAGTTATTGCTGAATAGCTTATATTTTCTCTGAAGTAATGAGGCAAAGATAGCTGAGAGAAAAATTTAAGGAGTAAATAAAAGTATGAGGTAGTGATTTTGGAGAATAAGAAAATGTAATTTCAGAAGGTTGGCAGTGCTTCCTATCCATTTGAGTTGGTCATAAAGTAGATGCTACTTCAAAGTTGTGTTTTTTGTTTGTTTTTTTAAGGAAAGAATACTATCACTTACAAATTTTATTAATCCTTTGCTAGCAATTGTCCACGTGATGAATATTGAAAAAGGTTTGCACAAACTTTCTCATTCCTATCATGATTTTGATAGGACACTCCATCTGTGGTAGCTATAAGGTTTTCATTTGATGCTACTGGATAATGAATGGTTCAACGTGCTTTAAAAGGCATTTTCAGTTACTTCTGGGCCCTAAGTATCCTTTTAATGTGAGAGTACTTTCCTTAGTCAGGAATCGGTCCTTGAGAAATGTTATGTTGACCATCTTCAAAAAAGAAAGTGTATGCCCTATCCATCTTAGCCTTGAGACTTTTTATTGCAGTTATGGTTTGTTCCTCTAGCTTCCTTACTTGTACTTCCACCTTTATTCTCCAATCTTAATTTGGCATCTGGAGAGGTAGTCTTTCCTACTTTTCTTCATTCATCTCTTTCCATCTCTATAGTCTTGTTTATTTTTTGTTGTTGCTTTTAATTTAATTTTCCTGGATAACTTTCTTATAGCACTTAACCCACTTAATTAGCTTGCTTATATGTACATTTGTCACTTTCTAACTATATTGTTAACCCATTAGCACAGGGAATATCTTGGTATTCCTTTTATCTAATATCCCCTTTATATGGTAGATAATGTTGAATAAATGAAATAGATATTTTGCATATTGATAGCTGCTCTTTTCTTCTTCCCCTATAATTAATTAGAGGTGTCCTTAACTATTGCTTTTTTCCTTACTATTACTTGATATTTGCCTTTATGTCTCAAAAATGGTTTTCTAGATCTTTTTAATTTTGCCCTTTGAATGATTCACTCACTCACTCTACCCTCTCCCACCATGAGCTTCATTCTCTTTCTGATCATCATCATTTATATATAAAATTTAGGTATATACATCTAAAGGTAACCTCTATTTATATATAGTTAGTATATTTTAACATAGTTATTTCCTGACTCTGTGAAGTTAACTACTGAATTCCTAATTACTTTTAGTAGTAAAGCCTTCAAATATCCCCCAAGTACCCACCTAGTAACAACCTAGCCTATGTAATGAAACTTTCAGGAGTTTTAAACTTTGCCATTTGAAATAGCTGTCTGTTTCTTTTTTTTGAAAAAAAATTTTTTAGGTGGTATATATTTTTCACAAGTGTATTAAAGAGAACTTTCTTAAACCTTTCATGTGTGAATTATCTCACAAGTCAATAAATACTTTTTAAAATTAAAATGTTCTATTAATGCACTTGACCAAACTTATAGATTCTACTTCTATTTAATTTTGTTTTTATATTATTATTAATATAAAAATAAGCATAACCTAATTATTACATAGAGATATGACTGTATATTGTCCATTGTTTTTGTTGTTATTGTTATTCTCTTTATGCAGAGATTAAATACATAGTGATTTTATTTTTCAGGGAAGTAAGCAATGGCATAGAAAAAAAAGGAAAGAAAAAATCTGTAGGTCGTCCACCTGGTCCATATACAAGAAAAATGATTCAGAAAACTGCTGAGCCATCTTTGGTAAGAGGAATAATATATTTGTATATGTTCTTAGAGAGGAAAGATGCTTGAAATGACTCAAGAAACTAGTATTTTTTCAGCTTACTTTAGAACCATGCTTTTAAAGTATATATATATATATTTTTTTTTTTTTTAATTTTTTTTTTATTTTATTTTCCAGGATAAGGAATCAATTTCAGAAAATCCTACCTTGGATTTACCTTGTTCTATAGGGTAAATAGAAAGTTATTTTCTCCTATCCTATGAACTTTCTTTTGGGGGGTGGGGGGGAATTAGTATTTCTATTGTTATGTAATATAGTCGTTTTACCATTTAAATTCTTTTGTCTCAGGAGAACTGAGGGACCTGCACATTCATCTAATACCTCAGATGTGGATTTCACGGGTGCTTCCAGTGCAAAAGAAACTACCTCGTCTAGCATTGCCAGGCATTATGGGTAGATATTTTATGTCCTTATTCTTTGTTAATTTTCCTGTAGTCTCTTTTCTTTGTGAAGTGATGATTAACAACATATTTTCCAATTGAAAGTGATACAAGTATGTTTTTCGCCTTTTGAAAAGCAACCAGTATGTCCAATACTTTAAGTTATTAATATTCATTTGGATAATTTTGCTTTTCAGAGCACAGACATTCAAATTTTTTAGAAAATTTGCTGTGTGCACTGAGAAAAGAGGCACACAAATGTTTATAGGCTGTGCTCTTTTCTGTGAGATCTTTTTATGCTTTTCTTTTAAAATATTTTTTAAATATATTTTTATTGACTTTTTTTTTTTTTTTTGAGAGAGAGAGAGAGAGAAAGGAAGGGAGAAGGAGAGGGAAGCATTGATTGGCTGTCTCTTGTAGGCCCCCTACTGGGGATAAAGCCTGAAACATAAGTTCTTTTGTTAGTAAAAGGATTTTTAAACTCAGGATTTTTATGAATAGCAGATTTCTTTAATGTTTTACATAACCTAAACTCTTCAGAAGA